TTTTTTTCTTCGGGCTGCAATTTTGCCTCATTTTCAACAATGATATCCGCGGCTATGGTTTCCTTCGTCAACCCATCTTTTGCCCAGTGTTCGAACTGCGCCTCCTCCAATGCTTCCGCGTACCCCCTGACCCTCTCACCCCCATATTGTCGCGCCGCAGACAGCATTAAAGTCACTTCGTGCGGGCTCTTTTCACGCACCAGATTCAATAAGATGGACTTATTTAATGCTACAGCACTTTTCGATGAAAAATGGTCGTGTATGGCCCGGAACTCAGGACTTCGAAAGAAACGGAGAGCGAAATCCTTTGTACCACCTCCAGGTATTTTAACGGAAAGCATCTTGTGCAAACCTGTTTTCACAAAAGCATCACCGACGTTTGCTACGTTCTGGAGCTTCGCCTTGAGATCAGCCATCTTCGCACGAGCTTCATCGACGATTTCCAAGTCTTCGAGCGTGTTCTTTAACTTCAGCAGATTCCCCTTGAGCTCCTTCAGCTCCGCAGCGGATGTGTCGCCATTCTTTTCGAGCGCTCCCACCGTTTTCACGAGCTTTTCGATCTTCTTCGTTACGACACCTTGATCGACTGGTGTCGTGTGATCTTGACGAGATGCAAGCTTTGCTATCTCGGACTCGACCTTTTTAGTTTCTCCGCTACGTGGTCTTTGTCGAGAGGTGTCAGGAGCTGGGCTGCCTCGAGCTTCTCCAGTTTCTTGCGGAGCTCTTCCATCTCTGCGCCGACTCGTTTCGGCTCGAACACCTCCAGGAGCTCCTTCAGGTTTTTCTCAAGCGTCTCCAATTTCAGCGCCATTTTGGCTTCAGTGACGGAAACCACGGCCTTAGCCTGCGCTTTGGGACCCTTCAGCTCCTTGCCAGATACACCGACGGGTGTTCTGCCCTTGATCTTCGCCCAGAGATCCTTCAACCACGCCCCATTTAAGAATTTCCGGAAATACTCCCGAAGATCAGTAGGTAGCAAGATAGCGCGGTTTTCCTCCCTCGCATTGATCTCCAAGACTTCCGTAGACTCCCGTTCGGTGGAGCTGGGCGACGTCTTGAGTGACAGGCCTGACACTTGGAGTAAACCAATGACGGAGAACGGCGAAATGGCCACGAAGAGCGCGATGAGGTTAGCCAACCTCATAGCTGACTAGAGACGACCAGAGACGGATGGTTCGCACTGAGCGGCAAAATGAATTGTGAGCTGCTGAGAGAAGGGGAAGCAATGCGACCTTCGGTCCAAATCGTCTTATGTGTTAGGCTTATAGCGAGTTCAGTATAGTATGGTATGTGGCATGGTGGTCGCCGCCTACTAGGGGAAGGAGCACACCAATGACTTGACGATTACAAGGCGGGAAGTTTGGGCAAACCTGATCCTTGCTGCTCAATGACAACCTACTAAAGAAGGAAAGGCTTCCGAAACACTTGCTTTTTGTATCGACGGGCTAGGACATCTGTATTTGAAACTACGCGCTGTCCAGTCCCTTCAGACCAGGGCAAGACGATACTATGATTGCTGTGCCGTAAGCTTTCGCCTGATTGCGGCATTGTTCGTGTTATGACCGGAACGTTAGCACTGTCCCACGCCCGCGGTGAACTGCATCGTTCAATGTCGCACTGCTTCTTGCACTTGCATGCCCATGATCACATGCTTTTCCGAGTAGCCAGGGCAGGAGCTGCCGTCGCGCCTTTGCAGTCGCTCCTGTCCTTTCCACAAAATTACTGGTCTGCTCTTCACAATCGAAACGAAGTGGACATTTCATCGTCGAGTTGACAGATTGTTGCTGTTTCGAGTGGTCGCCGGCTCATACTTTAAGCGCCTATTTTGTCTCAGCAATGGAACAGCCTACGGAAGAATGTTCTCAGAATGCTGCTTCCGGCTCGAGTGATCTTGCTGCTTCCGGCTCGAGTGATCTTGCTGCTTCTCTCGCTCGTAGACCGGGTACATGTGCTTTCTTGTGTGCATCAAATTTACTCTTCGATTGCTTCCCCGTTCTCTCGCTTCTCATCCGTGATTGGCTTTATCGTCTCCACAATCACAATATTAACATACTATAATCTGATCCCACGCGATGGCAGCCTCTGCACACAGGTCTCTGTCGATACTGCAGTCTCTGTGACAAGAGTTTCAGCGCAAAGAGCTGTGTCCATGATGTAAACGGCAGTTCTGGAAGGGCACTTACGCTTGAAATTCTTGCTACATAGAAGTGATTAGACCGGTCTTTTAGCGCCAGCGCATACACGTGGTGTCACTTGATTTGGCACTGCGGCCAGTTTGCGCCGAAGTAAACTCGTCATTGTACTAAGCACATTTGTATTTACTTCGCGAATGACCATTTGTATTTTGTTCATTTCCCGCACAACTAGTGTCGCACTACGTTTAGAAAAGAAAAAGATAGCTAGGCAGCTAGGCAGCTAGGCAGCTAGGACGGCCTTGCATTTACAGCAACACCGCTGCCACTGGATGTTTGCTCCATAGCGGCCAACCGGGCCACGCCTGATGTTCTTGGATCTTGTAGAAATAAGTAGCTTTCCTGGCCGGTCAGCGATCGGTCTCATGGATCCGGGCGTTAGGGATCAAAGCTTTTATCTTTGCAGTATGACTATTGGTCGCAAGATGACCATTGGCACAAGAAAGTAACACGCCCATGTAAATTTGAATGAAGAAGGTGTATGCGCTTGCGATTTGCGTCTTCAGATAAATAAAACACGATATTTGCGTGACTTGACACGAGCAGATACTTGCATTTGTTGTTTTCCAGAATTAAGTCATACGGATGCTGCAGTTTAGTTGAAGCAGCGCTAGAACAATGTGATCGAGCTGCGCTGGCCCAGGAGTGCCTGGCTGAGCCTTGCTGCTCAACAGAATGAAGACTATGTATGCATTTGACGATAAAAGCTGCAAGACCATTGCACTGATGGGGAAACCCACAGCCCGGTGAAGTTGGCGTTCATGTAACAGCCGTACCGCTTGTAACTGCTGTGCGAGAAACTAGATTTGTGGCGCTGCCGGCTCATTTGCACCACTCAAATTTGAGCTTTCGAAGCCATCCATCCGCTCAAGTGGCACCGAAGTAGATTCCGCAGCGCTAGTACATTTGTCTCCGAACGATCTCATGTGACTTTGTTTTAGATTCTATTAGGTCATGCAAGCCATTTTGACAAGGTAGCTGTTAAAATCACTTCCTTTTTCATTTAAACTACCCTTTTCCCGTGCAGTAAACAAAAAAAAGTTTTGATTCGTCGAAAATACTGAGTGAAATTTACCTCTTTTGCTATTAATCCCACGGATAGCGGCTGTACTTAGAATGTAACGGGGCACCCTGAAGCTTGTACTGGTGACAGTACAAGCTACTTGTTCGGATGACAGGACAAGGCGGTGCCTCGGAACTTCACGTACACTGGTACGTGCAGAGGAGACGGTAAGAAGAAGCGAGTACTTGGTCAATGTAAAAAGTAGAACCGTATTTAGCATAGTTAATGTCTGTTAATAAATCACTATTTATCTTCATCTAACTATGTCTGAATACAAATGTGCATATCAACTATCTGCTCACCACTCATTGCGTGCGTCTGTCGTGGCGCGTCTTCGTTGGTTGATATAATGGCCTATATCAACCAATTAGGAACTACTCGTAAGTGCTGCAGAATATTTGTCCTTATGACAATATTCTGAGAATATAACTCTTATAGTTATATTCTATTAACAATTCCTTATAAATTGTTATGTAACGATTCACCCCGTTACATCACCCCTCCCTTAACCATCAGTCACTTTAGTGACTGATTGACTAAATGGATACTCGTCCCAAATCATTTGGGACAGGGTTTGCACTTGTTGGTCCGCGTCCACTTTCCAACATTTCATCGCATGGTTAACAAGCCCATGCGATGCGCGAGCAAGGCCGCCGAGAGCGCGTCCGCACGTCTCTGTGCGGGCGCCGAAGCAGAAACCACAGCAACTGATGTCTCATCGGTTGCTGAAGCGACTCAGCCTGTGTCACCTGGTGACGCAGGCGCTGGTCATGAAGACACTCGTGTCTTCACAGAGTACGAGCTCGGTGTCTCGTACTCTCCTGATACGGATGACGGATCCGTATCGACGGCGATCGAACACAAGCCGCCTGCCAAGCGTGGCATGGATGATTCTACGCGTCGTAGCATCTTTGGTTCATCTTACGAATTAGATGAACCATCGCCGAAGCGAAGGCGCTCGAGGTCGCGAGACTCGGGCGCTAACAGCGGTGTCGGTTCTCCTATTGACACCACTTCGCAACGAGGTGCCAGTCCTTCTGTCGGCACGTCGCAGGAAGAGCAGGACCGCAATGTGTTGCGTCTCGCTCCTGAGAAGAAGGCATGAATGCCTCCTAAATCCGTCATGGATCACTTGTCGGCGACGACGAGTGATCGTTATCGAACACGATTGTTCGATTCGTCAAGGATCCATCACCTTGACTCCAGCGCGAAAAACTATCGCGCTGAACATGAATTCTTCATCGATGCTTTCTTTAGACATCGATGGTACAGTGGGAATCACAAACGTGATGGTCCCTCACTACTTCAGGCGTGGAACGCCTACATCCATAACCTTGAGGATGTAGGTCGTGACGCTTGGAACGACAAACTTACCAAAGCTCGTGATAAGTTTGAGAAGAGAACCCCGACAGGTGCACGCTACAAGCCGCATCGTCTGTCAAGGGAGAAAGGATTACCCTACCTCTCTTGGGGAGACTCGTGCCCATGTTGTGTAAACAACTCTGCACGAGCACCTAAGGAGGCTTACCTCCTTGCTAGCCCGTGGTGGCGCGTACGTGTCTCTACTGAGATGTACGAAGGGATTGACAATCTGAAATCCCTTTACGACCGTGCCGGGAAGACTTTCTCCGGCGGTCCTTCTGCGGCACAGGATGTGCCGCATCGTACTGCTCAACCAGACCCAGTACGTCAACCATCAGTTAGGAGCGGGGCTCCCAAGAATCCCAGGACGGGGGATAACCGCGTTATTGGACGAGATAACTCGTCCGACGTCCGTTCACATCGCGGTGGTTCAACAGCCGCTCAACCAGATAGCGCTGGCCACCGCGAGAGTCCTCCAATGGAGGTAGAGGAGGAGTAAAGACGCTCTTCACACGATCGTGGGGATCCGTGTGTTCCCGAGAGCTTCTTTGATCGCGTAACGCAAGGGTTACGCGACGATCTCGAGCATGAGCGAGATAGGCGTCTCCAAATAGCGGACACTGTCTTGAAAAATCGAGCTGAGTTTGCCTTTGCTCAGCTTGAGAACGAGAGATCTTTGACATCTCTTCGTGACGAGCTAAGGGTAGCTCGTGGGATTGCTGATCGGTCTCGGGCCGAGATAACTGCTCTTCAGACCGTTGTCGATGCCCACCATCGGGAGCACAAGGCTCTCTGCGAGATGCTTGAACGCAAGGGCGTTCTTGATCAAAAGAAACAGCGTACTGATGGTACGGCTTAAGCCGACCAACGTAAAACGTGGGATGCGTTCGCATCTTACGTGGCAACTCGATCGTGTATGCATTGCCTAGGCGGTGCAATACACGAAATGGGCCGATGTACTTGGGTAGTAGTTTACTGCTACCCAAGTTAGTCACTACATGCTTTGGTAGATTAACCGTAGACAGTAGGACTAAGTCATCTTTATTGAATAAAAGAGTGTTTGCCCTTCCATTCTTGTCAGCGTTTTGCTTTTGCTTATCCACCGCTTCGGCGATGGAGTCTTGCACGAAACGAACTACCGTTTCACGAGCCAGTATGAACTCATCTGATGACTCGTTAGCTTCAGTGTGCTGTGAGCGCACTGCAGCAAAATGAACCTTTTCTTCAGTGAGGGCTTCCGCACTCTCACTGGGATCATCTTCTTCAGTGAGGGCTTCCGCACTCTCACTGGCATCATCTTCTTCGATATCGATGTTATCGATATCGGCATCAAACGCAATGACTTCTTCGTCAGAGCGTGATGAGCGTGAACCAATTCGGTTTTTGCTCGCGCGAGTCCCTCCCCCCCTTAAACCAGAGTCACACTCTAGTAAGGTGGGTACACGCGGATGGCGCAAGCCATTCACGTAAAACGGTGTATGTGTCGTGGACGCATGCATCGAGTTGTTAATGGCAAACTCTACCATTGGCAAAAACTCACTCCAACTCTTAAAGGAGTGTACGTATCCTCAAAGTATCTCTTCAAGGACACGATTAGCACGTTCCGTCTGACCATCTGACTCTGGATGATCAGATGTCGACATCTTCAAGCGTGTTCCGAGTGATTTGAACACGGAACGACAGAAATCAGCTGTGAAGCGTGGATCTCTGTCTGATACGAGCTCACGGGGCAACCCGTGAAGTCGGAGGATGGTGTCAGTAAAGACACAAGCACAGCCACTTGCTGTGATTGACTCTGGTACAGCCACAATATGTACATTTTGCTGAATCTGTCAACAGATACGAGAATACCCGTATTCCCGCGTGCGTCTTTGGGTAACCCGAAGTCGAAATCCATTGAGATGGATTCCCAGCACTCTGCCGGAACCGGTAGAGGCTGTAAAGGTGCACGCAGTGAAGGACTTGACTTCACTCGTTGACAGACTTCGCATGCGCGAACATACTTTCGCACAAACGGATACTGGCGGGGTCAGTAAAAGTCTCGACTCACCGTGAGATATGTTTTCTCCCGGCCACGATGTCCTCCTATACGAGCATCGTGATACTCAAACATGATCCGCAAACGCAGATCAGTGTCATCTGGAATGACAACACGTGGTGTGTCACCAGAAACGGCTGTATAATACAGTAACCCGTTGCGAGTAGTGTATCGATCTGATGCAGATCGATACGCAGACGACAATCGTTTCAACGATTCTCGAGATGGCTGTGAGAGATGTGTCAACAACTTCACAATCTCACCATCTTGGGCATACGCCCTCCTCACATCATCATTTAACGTTGAAGATGGTATGGTGGACGTCATAACCGCAACAGTGACTGTCTCACTGTTGGGTTTCACGACTGTTTCAAAGTCGGGTCAACGTGAGAGTGCATCAGCGACGACATTAAGTCGTCCTGGTTTGTACTCGACCGTAAAGTTGTATTCTTCAAAGAATGACAACCACCGCGTCATTCGTTGTGAAAGGTACGCGCTGTTCACTGCCGTGCGTAATGACGCATGGTCAGTGCAAACAATGAAGGGTCTTATTTCTAATGGATAGACTCTGAACTTCGCGAGTTCATACTTCATGGTTAGGAGTTCCTTGTCATGCACTGGATAGTTCCGCTCAGCTGGTTGCAGCTGACGCGACTGATAGCAGACGACGCGTTCAACGTCTTCAAGGTCGTACTGCATTAATGCACAGCCGGTTGCGAAATCGCTGGCATCACAGACCACATGAAATGGCCTGTCCTGATCGGCAATCGCTAGGACTGGGGATTGTATCAAGCTCTGCTTGATACCATCAAAGGAACGCAGACATTCAGCGTTCCATAACCACCTCTCGTTCGTTTTCAACAAACGAGAGATGTGTACAGTCATGTCGGCGTAATTGCGTGAATACTTGTGCAAATACGCCGCTAGCCCGAGGAATTTTCGGAGACCTTTGACATCAACTGGCACAGGCCAGTCGGTGATCGCCTTGATCTTTTCGGGATCAGGACGTACACCGTTCTTACCAACGACGCACCCAAGAAGTGGTATTTCGCTTGCTGCAAATATACACTTCTTGAGGTTTGCATACAATTGATGCTTTCGCATGATTGTAAGAACCTGTCGGGCGTGGTACCTGTGAACCTCAACGTCCGACTTTCCATCCATAGCTTGACTATGGATGAAGACGTCTTCGAAACAACTCGGCGCGAATTCTCGTACTGGTCTCAACAGATATGATACACATCTGTTGAACGTGGCAGGGGCATCACTAAGCCCTTGTGGCATTACTATTCATTCCCAGAGCATGCCGCTAGGCGTGCTCACTGCGGTATAGGGGATGTCCCGTTCTCGCATAAGGATTTGATACAAGCCATCCATCAAATCCATGGACGAAAAGATGGTACTCTTTGACATGCCATCAATGATCACGTCCTTCCTTGGTATCGGCGTCTGAGACGGTACAGTTGCAGCATTCACTTGTTAAATGCATGCACAATCCGCTACCCTTCTGTTGCTTTTCGCACACAGAAGGTCGGAGAGCTATGTGGGGAAGTTGATTCCCTCACATGGCCCGCAGCTAAACGATCGGCAAAGAACTTGTCGATCGCAAGTACTTGTTCACGAGGCAGTGGCCACTGCTTCATGACACAGTACTTCGACTCTAGTTTAAGCTCTTCCTCATGTCGAATACCTTTATCCTTCGGTAATTCGCACGGAATAGTTTCAGGGAATACATCCTTGAATTCAACCAAATCTTCATAGAGATGATTTCTCTTGAGCGATTCCCATGATTGAGAGTCATATCGCTCAATTCGTGTCTTTTCATCTAGGACACTCTCGTCCATTGGTGAACTACTGAGAACTCTCTCGTTCTCAGTGAACATTGTTGCTGACCTTATGTCGGCTACACACTCGTCGTCAGCGACGAGTACGCAGATCTGCTTGACTTTGCCACTACGCAGATCACTCAAGAACCTTTTATGTTCGAGCGTTGGCAACTGAGTGATATCCGAAGTCAACTTCGGAGGCGCAATCAGATCAAGTGTGTAAGCGCCCACAGTTGATCCATCATTGACTAGGACATTCAATGTCTCTGTAATTCCCTGGGGACTCATTCCCTCAGGCCTCAAAGGAATTATTCCTTCGGCTTCCCAGGGAATTATTCCCGCGGGTTTCGGGGAGCTTATTTCCGCCGTATCTGTCATATCGGGACTTAATCCCTTGACTTCCTCTAGCTGGGGTTGCGCAACCACAGCGAGATCCTCTACGAAAGACTCTCCAGTCGATCTAGGATTATCGTTTCGCTTAACCTAAGCGATCGATTGTTTCTCTTCTAGATGTTCCCCGCTAGGGATACATCTTTGTCCCGGTCCACCCGACTTATTCGAGTGGTGGACCTTCGGCGCAGCCTGTGTTTCCTCACAGCCGCCGGAACTTTGCTCCGAAGTGTAACCGTTTGGTACACTAAGGTTTTTTGCAGTCGTACTAACGACCGTACCACAAGTGAGGCCATCGCACTCACTCGTAGTACATCCACACGCTTGTGGACGCTCCAAAACGTTCATCAGATGGCCATCTGATGAACAAGCGGCAGGCATCGTTACTGTTCGATGTTGCCAGTTTACTCGTGGTTCGTACCTTCTGAGCCACGGTATTCCAAGGATGACATCAAATTTGTCATCCAAATCCAATACGATAAAGTCATCATCATATTGGGTATTTTCTAGCGTATAGTGGATCTTCACTATACGTTTCATGACGGATTACGGATGCGCCTGTCGCAAGATGTACCGTCATCCTCGTAGGAGGTGTGTCACATTCACTGAACTTAAAGTGACCATCTTCTAGCGATTGGCGTCGCACAAAATTGTTGGACGCCCCACAATCGACTAGAGCTCGAAGGGACAACTTATTCGTCACTTCGAGTTTCAAGGTAATGAGTGAGATCTCATTACCTAGAGCAGCAACGCACAACGTCTGTGTGTTGGGAGCAACCTTCATCAAGAGGCCTACAAATTCTCTTGACGTTGCTGGATCAGTAGGGTGCTCCGCACCTACTGATTCTGTCCGTTTTTTGACGGTCCATCCCGTTGTTGCGTCTTTGCACCAACTGCGGACCCTCGTCCCTGCCTCTTTCTCATGGGTGGACGGTCACTATGCCCAGTGTCGCGAGACACTGGACGAGGGGCACTACACTCGTAAGCGTAGTGTCCTGTCTTTTGACATCTGTTGCATCTCTGCAACTTCTTGTAGCCTGTAGAGCGAGCCTTCTCGCTCTCTACATAACAGAGTTCCATCGGCTCTGGACTTCCGCTGTCATATCGTTTCGGTTGACGATATGATGTCGAGCTGGCGCGAGCCTGTCTCAGACTGAAGTCTTGCTGTTCCGCAATGGAAATGGCTTGTTCTAGTGAATCTAGTTCAAGTCGGAACAGGTGAGTCTTGACGGGACCATCCGCAAGACCCTGCATGAACACCGAAAACAACGTGTGTTTATCAACCGGGTCGGAACTTGTACAACTCGTGAGATGTCGTATATGTTGCGCGTAAGCGTGCACATCACGCTTACCTTGCTTGAGCTTCAAGAGTTCGGTTCGAGCTCTGAACTCAGCTCTAGGCAGTTCAAACGTTTGTCTGAGCCGCGACTTGAAGAACTTCCAACGACCCAAACGCATATGGGTTGTGCAACTTGAGCCCCAGTGCCCAAGTCTTGGCACATCCTGCCAGATTTGACTGGGCAAAAGCAACTTGCATATCCCCGTCGTCGATGCGACGCGCCCTTATGGCGTCGTCTAATTCGACGAACCATCTCAAGAGGGAGTCCTCTTCGACCCCCCTATACTTGGAGATGTCAATCTTCAAGATCTCGGGTCGACGCGAGTGCATCGACCCACCAGCAGCAGCCTGCTGCTGTCTCAACAGTTCAAACTGTTGAGCATTCTGTTCTCTCAACAACTCTGCTTGTTGAGAACCTTGTTGGTGAAGCAAGGCTACTTTCTCGCGTTCGGCGTCAAGTTCATTTTGAATGAACTTGGCGATAGTAGCAATGTTGGGCATCTCTATTGAGAGCCTCTAGCATGACGCAAACAGCATGGATGCCCATGGTCGAACCCATTCGTTCAACCGCATCCCATCCGACATCGCTCAAATGGGAGTAGCCGTCACGCGTAGCGTGAAAGCTTTGGTCATCTTCATCTTCCAACATATTCATGTTGGATGTGAACGCGGTCCTTGGACGGACTACGAAGTGCTACCAGGTGTAACGGGGCACCCTGAAGCTTGTACTGGTGACAGTACAAGCTACTTATTCTGATGACAGAATAAGGCGGTGCCTCGTAACTTCACGTACACTCGTACGTGCAGAGGAAGACGGTAAGAAGAAGCGAGTACTTAGTTAAGTAAAAAGTAGAACTGTATTTATAATAGTTAATGTCTGCAATAAATCACTATTTATCTTCATCTAACTATGTCTAAATACAAATGTGTAAATCAGTTATCTGCTCACCACTCATTGCGTGCGTCTGTCGTGGCGCGTCTTCGTTGGTTGATATAATGGCCAATATCAACCAATTAGGAGCTACTCGTAAGTGCTGCTGAATATTTGTCCTTATGACAATATTCTGAATGTAAGACTCTTATAGTTGTATTCTATTTACAATTTCTTATAAATTGTTTTGTAACGGTCACCCCGCAACATACACCACCCGCGACGGCTGTCTGGTTTGTAAAGGTCATCACTGGGTTTCCTAGCGTCCCAAAAAATTTAACGCACAGAAGGATGAAGCCAAACAAGCCATGCGAAAGCACATGGCATCACGGACCTCAGCTAAGTGCGCCTCACTAACTCAAAACTAAGAATTACAGCCCACATCAGTTTGGGCGGGTAATTTGGAGGTGTAACGGGATGAATCATTACAAAACAATTTTTAAGAAATTCTTAATAGAATATAACTATAAGAGTTTTACATTCAGAATATTGTCATAAGGACAAATATTCTGTAGCACTTACGAGTAGCTCCTAATTGGTTGATATAGGCCATTATATCAACCAACGAAGACGCGCCACGACAGACGCACGCAATGAGTGGTGAGCAGATAACTGATTTACACATTTGTATTTAGACATAGTTAGATGAAGATAAATAGTGATTTATTGCAGACATTAACTATTATAAATACAGTTCTACTTTTTACTTAACTAAGTACTCGCTTCTTCTTACCGTCTTCCTCTGCACGTACGAGTGTACGTGAAGTTACGAGGCACCGCCTTATTCTGTCATCAGAATAAGTAGCTTGTACTGTCACCAGTACAAGCTTCAGGGTGCCCCGTTACACCTGGTAGCACTTCGTAGTCCGTCCAAGGACCGCGTTCACATCCAACATGAATATGTTGGAAGATGAAGATGACCAAAGCTTTCACGCTACGCGTGACGGCTACTCCCATTTGAGCGATGTCGGATGGGATGCGGTTGAACGAATGGGTTCGACCATGGGCATCCATGCTGTTTGCGTCATGCTAGAGGCTCTCAATAGAGATGCCCAACATGCTACTATCGCCAAGTTCATTCAAAATGAACTTGACGCCGAACGCGAGAAAGTAGCCTTGCTTCACCAACAAGGTTCTCAACAAGCAGAGTTGTTGAGAGAACAGAATGCTCAACAGTTTGAACTGTTGAGACAGCAGCAGGCTGCTGCTGGTGGGTCGATGCACTCGCGTCGACCCGAGATCTTGAAGATTGACATCTCCAAGTATAGGGGGGTCGAAGAGGACTCCCTCTTGAGATGGTTCGTCGAATTAGACGACGCCATAAGGGCGCGTCGCATCGACGACGGGGATATGCAAGTTGCTTTTGCCCAGTCAAATCTGGCAGGATGTGCCAAGACTTGGGCACTGGGGCTCAAGTTGCACAACCCATATGCGTTTGGGTCGTTGGAAGTCTTCAAGTCGCGGCTCAGACAAACGTTTGAACCGCCTAGAGCTGAGTTCAGAGCTCGAACCGAACTCTTGAAGCTCAAGCAAGGTAAGCGTGATGTGCACGCTTACGCGCAACATATACGACATATCACGAGTTGTACAAGTTCCGACCCGGTTGATAAACACACGTTGTTTTCGGTGTTCATGCAGGGTCTTGCGGATGGTCCCGTCAAGACTCACCTGTTCCGACTTGAACTAGATTCACTAGAACAAGCCATTTCCATTGCGGAACAGCAAGACTTCAGTCTGAGACAGGCTCGCGCCAGCTCGACATCATATCGTCAACCGAAACGATATGACAGCGGAAGTCCAGAGCCGATGGAACTCTGTTATGTAGAGAGCGAGAAGGCTCGCTCTACAGGCTACAAGAAGTTGCAGAGATGCAACAGATGTCAAAAGACAGGACACTACGCTTACGAGTGTAGTGCCCCTCGTCCAGTGTCTCGCGACACTGGGCATAGTGACCGTCCACCCATGAGAAAGAGGCAGGGACGAGGGTCCGCAGTTGGTGCAAAGACGCAACAACGGGATGGACCGTCAAAAACGGACAGAATCAGTAGGTGCGGAGCACCCTACTGATCCAGCAACGTCAAGAGAATTTGTAGGCCTCTTGATGAAGGTTGCTCCCAACACACAGACGTTGTGCGTTGCTGCTCTAGGTAATGAGATCTCACTCATTACCTTGAAACTCGAAGTGACGAATAAGTTGTCCCTTCGAGCTCTAGTCGATTGTGGGGCGTCCAACAATTTTGTGCGACGCCAATCGCTAGAAGATGGTCACTTTAAGTTCAGTGAATGTGACACACCTCCTACGAGGATGACGGTACATCTTGCGACAGGCGCATCCGTAACCGTCATGAAACGTATAGTGAAGATCCACTATACGCTAGAAAATACCCAATATGATGATGACTTTATCGTATTGGATTTGGATGACAAATTTGATGTCATCCTTGGAATACCGTGGCTCAGAAGGTACGAACCACGAGTAAACTGGCAACATCGAACAGTAACGATGCCTGCCGCTTGTTCATCAGATGGCCATCTGATGAACGTTTTGGAGCGTCCACAAGCGTGTGGATGTACTACGAGTGAGTGCGATGGCCTCACTTGTGGTACGGTCGTTAGTACGACTGCAAAAAACCTTAGTGTACCAAACGGTTACACTTCGGAGCAAAGTTCCGGCGGCTGTGAGGAAACACAGGCTGCGCCGAAGGTCCACCACTCGAATAAGTCGGGTGGACCGGGACAAAGATGTATCCCTAGCGGGGAACATCTAGAAGAGAAACAATCGATCGCTTAGGTTAAGCGAAACGATAATCCTAGATCGACTGGAGAGTCTTTCGTAGAGGATCTCGCTGTGGTTGCGCAACCCCAGCTAGAGGAAGTCAAGGGATTAAGTCCCGATATGACAGATACGGCGGAAATAAGCTCCCCGAAACCCGCGGGAATAATTCCCTGGGAAGCCGAAGGAATAAGTCCTTCGAAGCCTGAGGGAATGAGTCCCCAGGGAATTACAGAGACATTGAATGTCCTAGTCAATGATGGATCAACTGTGGGCGCTTACACACTTGATCTGATTGCGCCTCCGAAGTTGACTTCGGATATCACTCAGTTGCCAACGCTCGAACATAAAAGGTTCTTGAGTGATCTGCGTAGTGGCAAAGTCAAGCAGATCTGCGTACTCGTCGCTGACGACGAGTGTGTAGCCGACATAAGGTCAGCAACAATGTTCACTGAGAACGAGAGAGTTCTCAGTAGTTCACCAATGGACGAGAGTGTCCTAGATGAAAAGACACGAATTGAGCGATATGACTCTCAATCATGGGAATCGCTCAAGAGAAATCATCTCTATGAAGATTTGGTTGAATTCAAGGATGTATTCCCTGAAACTATTCCGTGCGAATTACCGAAGGATAAAGGTATTCGACATGAGGAAGAGCTTAAACTAGAGTCGAAGTACTGTGTCATGAAGCAGTGGCCACTGCCTCGTGAACAAGTACTTGCGATCGACAAGTTCTTTGCCGATCGTTTAGCTGCGGGCCATGTGAGGGAATCAACTTCCCCACATAGCTCTCCGACCTTCTGTGTGCGAAAAGCAACAGAAGGGTAGCGGATTGTGCATGCATTTAACAAGTGAATGCTGCAACTGTACCGTCTCAGACGCCGATACCAAGGAAGGACGTAATCATTGATGGCATGTCAAAGAGTACCATCTTTTCGTCCATGGATTTGATGGATGGCTTGTATCAAATCCTTATGCGAGAACGGGACATCCCCTATACCGCAGTGAGCACGCCTAGCGGCATGCTCTGGGAATGAATAGTAATGCCACAAGGGCTTAGTGATGCCCCTGCCACGTTCAACAGATGTGTATCATATCTGTTGAGACCAGTACGAGAATTCGCGCCGAGTTGTTTCGAAGACGTCTTCATCCATAGTCAAGCTATGGATGGAAAGTCGGACGTTGAGGTTCACAGGTACCACGCCCGACAGGTTCTTACAATCATGCGAAAGCATCAATTGTATGCAAACCTCAAGAAGTGTATATTTGCAGCAAGCGAAATACCACTTCTTGGGTGCGTCGTTGGTAAGAACGGTGTACGTCCTGATCCCGAAAAGATCAAGGCGATCACCGACTGGCCTGTGCCAGTTGATGTCAAAGGTCTCCGAAAATTCCTCGGGCTAGCGGCGTATTTGCACAAGTATTCACGCAATTACGCCGACATGACTGTACACATCTCTCGTTTGTTGAAAACGAACGAGAGGTGGTTATGGAACGCTGAATGTCTGCGTTCCTTTGATGGTATCAAGCAGAGCTTGATACAATCCCCAGTCCTAGCGATTGCCGATCAGGACAGGCCATTTCATGTGGTCTGTGATGCCAGCGATTTCGCAACCGGCTGTGCATTAATGCAGTACGACCTTGAAGACGTTGAACGCGTCGTCTGCTATCAGTCGCGTCAGCTGCAACCAGCTGAGCGGAACTATCCAGTGCATGACAAGGAACTCCTAACCATGAAGTATGAACTCGCGAAGTTCAGAGTCTATCCATTAGAAATAAGACCCTTCATTGTTTGCACTGACCATGCGTCATTACGCACGGCAGTGAACAGCGCGTACCTTTCACAACGAATGACGCGGTGGTTGTCATTCTTTGAAGAATACAACTTTACGGTCGAGTACAAACCAGGACGACTTAATGTCGTCGCTGATGCACTCTCACGTTGACCCGACTTTGAAACAGTCGTGAAACCCAACAGTGAGACAGTCACTGTTGCGGTTATGACGTCCACCATACCATCTTCAACGTTAAATGATGATGTGAGGAGGGCGTATGCCCAAGATGGTGAGATTGTGAAGTTGTTGACAAATCTCTCACAGCCATCTCGAGAATCGTTGAAACGATTGTCGTCTGCGTATCGATCTGCATCAGATCGAAACACTACTCGCAACGGGTTACTGTATTATACAGCCGTTTCTGGTGACACACCACGTGTTGTCATACCAGATGATACTGATCTGCGTTTGCGGATCATGTTTGAGTATCACGATACTCATATAGGAGGACATCGTGGCCGGGAGAAAACATATCTCACGGTGAGTCGAGACTTTTACTGGCCCCGCCAGTATCAGTTTGTGCGAAAGTATGTTCGCGCATGCGAAGTCTGTCAACGAGTGAAGTCAAGTCCTTCACTGTGTGCACCTTTACAGCCTCCACCAGTTCCGGCAGAGTGCTGGGAATCCATCTCAATGGATTTCGACTTCGGGTTACCCAAAGACGCACGCGGGAATACGGGTATTCTCGTATTTGTTGACAGATTCAGCAAAATGGTACACCTAGTGGCTGTACCAGAGTCAATCACAGCAAGTGGCTGTGCTTGTGTCTTTATTGACACCATCTTCCGACTTCATGGGTTGCCCCGTGAACTCGTATCAGACAGAGATCCACGATTCACTGCTGATTTCTGGCGTTCCGTGTTCAAATCACTCGGGACGCGCTTGAAGATGTCAACATCTGATCATCCAGAGTCAGATGGTCAGACGGAACGTGCCAATCGTGTCCTTGAAGAGATACTTTGAGGATACGTACACTCCTTTAAGAGTTGGAGTGAGTTTTTGCCAATGGTAGAGTTTGCCATCAACAACTCGGTGCATGCGTCCACGACACATACACCGTTTTACGTGAATGGCTTGAGCCATCCGCGTGTACCCACCTTACTAGAGTGTAACTCTGATTTAAGGGGGGGAGGGACTCGCGCGAGCAAAAACCGAATTGGTTCACGCTCATCACGCTCTGACGAAGAAGTCATTGCGTTTGATGCCGATATCGATAACATCGATATCGAAGAAGATGATGCCAGTGAGAGTGCGGAAGCCCTCACTGAAGAAGATGATCCCAGTGAGAGTGCGGAAGCCCTCACTGAAGAAAAGGTTGATGTTGCTGCAGTGCGCTCACAGCACACTGAAGCTAACGAGCCAGCAGATGAGTTCATACTGGCTCGTGAAACGGTAGTTCGTTTCGTGCAAGACTCCATCGCCGAAGCGGTGGATAAGCAAAAGCAAAACGCTGACAAGAATGGAAGGGCAAACACTCTTTTATTTAATAAAGGTGACTTAGTCCTACTGTCTACGGTTAATCTAACAAAGCATGTAGTGACTAACTTGGGTAGCAGTAAACTACTACCCAAGTACATTGGCCCATTTCGTGTATTGCACCGCCTAGGCAATGCATACACGATCGAGTTACCACGTAAGATGCGAACGCATCCCACGTTTTACGTTGGTCGGCTTAAGCCGTACCATCAGTACGCTGCTTCTTCCGATGAAGAACGCCCTTGCGCTCAAGCATCTCGTAGAGAGCCTTGTGCTCCCGATGGTGGGCATCGACAAGGGTGTGAAGAGCAGCTATCTCATCCCGAGACCGATCAGCAATCCCACGAGCTACCCTTAGCTCGTCACGAAGAGATGTCAGAGATCTCTCGTTCTCGAGCTGAGCAAAGGCAAACTCAGCTCGATGCTTCGAGGCAGTGTCCGCCATTTGGAGACGCCTATTCCGCTCATGTTCGAGATCGTCGCGTAACCCTTGCGTTACGCGATCAAAGAAGCTCTCGGGAACACACGGATCCCCACGATCGTGTGGAGAGCGTCTTTACTCCTCCTCTACCTCCATTGGAGGACTCTCGCGGTGGCCAGCGCTATCTGGTTGAGCGGCTGTTGAACCACCGCGATGTGAACGGACGTCGGACGAGTTACCTCGTCCAATAACGCGGTTATCCCCCGTCCTGGGATTCTTGGGAGCCCCGCTCCTAACTGATGGTTGACGTACTGGGTCTGGTTGAGCAGTACGATGCGGCACATCCTGTGCCGCAGAAGGACCGCCGGATAAAGTCTTCTCGGCACGGTCGTAAAGGGATTTTAGGTTGTCAATCCCTTCGTACATCTCAGTAGAGATACGTACGCGCCACCACGGGATAGCAAGGAGGTAAGCCTCCTTAGGTGCGCGCGTTGATTTCTTACACAACAAGGGCACGAGTCTCCCCATGAGAGGCAGGGTAATCCTTTCTCCCTTGACAGACGATGCAGCTTGTAGCGTGCACCTTTCGGGGTTCTCTTCTCAAACTTATCACGAGCTTTGGTAAGTTTGTCGTTCCAAACGTCACGACCTACATCCTCAAGGTTATGGATGTAAGCGTTCCACGCTTGCAGCAGTGAGGGACCATCACGTTTGTGGTTCCCACTGTACTATCGTATGTTTAAAGAAAGCATCGATGAAGAATTCATTCCCAGTGTGATAGTCTTTCTCACTGGGGTCAAGGTGGTGGATCCTTGACGAATCGAACAATCGTGTTCGATAGCGATCACTTGTCGTCGCCGACAAGTGATCCATGACGGATTTAGGAGGCATTCATGCCTTCTTCTCAGGAGCGAGACGCAACATATTGCGGTCCTGCTCTTCCTGCGACGTGCCGACAGAAGTACTGGCACCTCGTTTCGAAGTGGTGTCAATAGGAGAACTGAAACCACTGTGAGCGCCCGAGTCTTGCGATCTCGAGCGCCTTCGCTTAGGCGATGGTTCATCTACCTCATTAGATGAACCAAAGATGCTACGACGCGTAGAATCATCCATGCAACGCTTGGCAGGCGGCTTGGTTTCAACCGCCTTCGATACGGATCCCTCTTCCGCATCGGGAGAGTATGAGACACCGAGCTCATACTCTGTGAAGACGTGAGTGTCTTCGTGACGAGCGCCTGTATCACCAGGTGACACAGGCTGAGACGCTTCAGCAACCGATGACACATCAGTTGCAGCGGTTTCTGCTTCGGCGTCTGCACAGAGACGTGCAGACGCGCTCTCAGCGGCCTTGTTCGCGCACCGCATGGACTTGTTTACCATGCGATGAGATGTTGGACTGTGGACTCGGACCAACAAGTGCAAACCCTGTCCCAAATTATTTTAGACGAGTATCCATTCAGTCAATCAGTCACTAAAGTGACTGATGGTTAAGGGGGGGTGATGTAACGGGGGGAATCGTTACATAACAATTTATAAGAAATTGCTGATAGAATATAACTATAAGAGTTGTATTCTCAGAATATTTTCATAAGGACAAATATTCTGCAGCACTTACGAGTAGTTCCTAATTGGTTGATATAGGCCATTATATCAACCAACGAAGACGCGCCACGACAGACGCACGCAATGAGTGGTGAGCAGATAGTTGATATGCACATTTGTATTCAGACATAGTTAGATGAAGATAAATAGTAATTTACTAACAGACATTAACTATTATAAATACAGTTCTACTTTTTACTTTAAGCAAGTACTCGCTTCTACTTACCGTATTCCTCTGCACGTACCAGTGTACGTAAAATACGAGGCACCGCCTTATTCTGTCGTCAGATTAAGTAGCGTGCACTGTCATCAATACAAGCTTCAAAGTGCCCCGTTAAAGTGTAGAAGTTGCTGGCATTAATTGGCACTGCCGTGGTGGTGAGAGTGTATCATCTCTGTTCAAGGATCCTTTAGCATTCTGGGTACGATTCTGACGTGTGCCTTGCTCCGTGCAGCCTACTTTGGCTTTTCTTCAACCTCCATCAGGAATTAGTGCTGTTGCGAGTGAGCACGTTCTAAATTAATGTTATAAAGTTCTTCCTCGTCAGCCTTGGCTTTGCGATACTCGAGGGATACCAAGTGCTCAATCTCACGCTTCAGTACTTTGGGCGTAAGGTTGTCAATCAGGATCTTGGTCCAGTTCTTGGTCTGCACTATCGAATTGTAACCTTGGGCCTTTAATATGCTCCATCACAATTTGAAGCCTACAGATGCCACGATCTTGTTGAAACGACAATTTGATTTATGATCCGAGCTTCAATGTCGTCTTTCTCGAGGTCCATTCGTAGCTCCTCGGCTAACAGAGCTTTAACGTCTCCTGGAGATTATTCTCCTTCACAGCGCTGCAACGTCGATTGATTTCTTGTTCAGAGTAAAAGTCGGTAAGCGTATCCATATCCTTGCCTAGGACATACTTTTCTTTATTTCTGAGTATTTCCGCATCGATTGAGCCCTTGATACGGACTGCGATAATTTTATTTTGTTCGCCTGTTGCAGAGCAACGCTCGCACAGACGATACCCATACTGCCTTCACTCGCTTTGCCAGCGAATAGGTGACGCCTGGTTCCATTCATGCAGCCTTGGCGCCGTAATATGCTCTAGGGTGGTGATGTAGGCGGGAGTCATCTCGAAGTCTTCATCCACCACCCAGAAGGTCAACGTTTTGTTGCGCCGAGATGCCGGCCGTACTTGACTTGTGCTTGCTATACCTAAAATATACTTGGTGATGAATCCGTGTGCCTTGGAGGCAATCTGGGAGGTGTATCTATCAAAATAACATGCATGCCATTCGCTTTGGTGCCCCAGTGTGTCTCCTGTATTATTGGTTGTGGAACCATCTGTAGCTCTTGGGTGGTGGGTTTCTTAACCCCCGGCGAATGAAGAGGTGTGTTGTTCGTAACTCACGAAGCTTAATTTTCAGAAATATGAGACGTAATAATCCACAACATCCATTAAGCTTCCTCCCTTAGCCAACTTTAAAAACTGGTGTACTTTACGTCGCAGTTGCTTACGATTACACATCTTTGTCGCAAAAAGGTATTCGTGGGGATGTCTAATGCCTCTGCAATAGATTTCGCTAGACGAGCCAGTGACTGCAAGTATGTAATGACCATCGTCGTCACAATCGCGAGGGCCTTCATGGCAATAATTTTTTAAATTGACGCAGATGCGTCTGCTTCTACTGGGGCCTTCATTGTAACGGGGTGAATCGTTACATAACAATTTATAAGAAATTGTTAATAGAATATAACTATAAGAGTTATATTCTCAGAATATTGTCATAAGGACAAATATTCTGTAGCACTTACGAGTAGCTCCTAATTGGTTGATATAGGCCATTATATCAACCAACGAAGACGCGCCACGACAGACGCACGCAATGAGTGGTGAGCAGATAACTGATTTACACATTTGTATTTAGACATAGTTAGATGAAGATAAATAGTGATTTATTGCAGACATTAACTATTATAAATACAGTTCTACTTTTTACTTAACTAAGTACTCGCTTCTTCTTACCGTCTTCCTCTGCACGTACGAGTGTACGTGAAGTTACGAGGCACCGCCTTATTCTGTCATCAGAATAAGTAGCTTGTACTGTCACCAGTACAAGCTTCAGGGTGCCCCGTTACACCTGGTAGCACTTCGTAGTCCGTCTAAGGACCGCGTTCACATCCAACATGAATATGTTGGATGATGAAGATGACCAAAGATTTCACGCTACGCGTGACGGCTACTCCCATTTGAGCGATGTCGGATGGGATGCGGTTGAACGAATGGGTTCGACCATGGGCATCCATGCTGTTTGCGTCATGCTAGAGGCTCTCAATAGAGATGCCCAACATGCTACTATCGCCAAGTTCATTCAAAATGAACTTGACGCCGAACGCGAGAAAGTAGCCTTGCTTCACCAACAAGGTTCTCAACAAGCAGAGTTGTTGAGAGAACAGGGTGCCCAACAGTTTGAACTGTTGAGACAGCAGCAGGCTGCTGCTGGTGGGTCGATGCACTCGCGTCGACCCGAAACCTTGAAGATTGACATCTCCAAGTATAGGGGGGTCGAAGAAGACTCCCTCTTGAGATGGTTCGTCGAATTGGATGACGCCATAAGGGCGCGTCGCATCGACGACGGGGATGTGCAAGTTGCATTTGCCCAGTCAAATCTGGCAGGACGTGCCAAGACTTGGGCACTGGGGCTCAAGTTGCACGACCCATATGCGTTTGGGTCGTTGGAAGTCTTCAAGTCGCGGCTCAGACAAACGTTTGAACCGCCTAGAGCTGAGTTCAGAGCTCGAACCGAACTCTTGAAGCTCAAGCAAGGTAAGCGTGATGTGCACGCTTACGCGCAACATATACGACATCTCAAGAGTTGTACAAGTTCCGACCCGGTTGATAAACACACGTTGTTTTCGGTGTTCATGCAGGGTCTTGCGGATGGTCCCGTCAAGACTCACCTGTTCCGACTTGAACTAGATTCACTAGAACAAGCCATTTCCATTGCGGAACAGCAAGACTTCAGTCTGAGACAGGCTCGCGCCAGCTCGACATCATATCGTCAACCGAAACGATATGACAGCGGAAGTCCAGAGCCGATGGAACTCTGTTATGTAGAGAGCGAGAAGGCTCGCTCTACAGGCTACAAGAAGTTGCAGAGATGCAACAGATGTCAAAAGACAGGACACTACGCTTACGAGTGTAGTGCCCCTCGTCCAGTGTCTCGCGACACTGGGCATAGTAACCGTCCACCCATGAGAAAGAGGCAGGGACGAGGGTCCGCAGTTGGTGCAAAGACGCAACAACGGGATGGACCGTCAAAAAACGGACAGAATCAGTAGGTGCGGAGCACCCTACTGATCCAGCAACGTCAAGAGAATTTGTAGGCCTCTTGATGAAGGTTGCTCCCAACACACAGACGTTGTGCGTTGCTGCTCTAGGTAATGAGATCTCACTCATTACCTTGAAACTCGAAGTGACGAATAAGTTGTCCCTTCGAGCTCTAGTCGATTGTGGGGCGTCCAACAATTTTGTGCGACGCCAATCGCTAGAAGATGGTCACTTTAAGTTCAGTGAATGTGACACACCTCCTACGAGGATGACGGTACATCTTGCGACAGGCGCATCCGTAACCGTCATGAAACGTATAGTGAAGATCCACTATACGCTAGAAAATACCCAATATGATGATGACTTTATCGTATTGGATTTGGATGACAAATTTGATGTCATCCTTGGAATACCGTGGCTCAGAAGGTACGAACCACGGGTTAACTGGCAACATCGAACAGTAACGATGCCTGCCGCTTGTTCATCAGATGGCCATCTGATGAACGTTTTGGAGCGTCCACAAGCGTGTGGATGTACTACGAGTGAGTGCGATGGCCTCACTTGTGGTACGGTCGTTAGTACGACTGCACAAAACCTTAGTGTACCAAACGGTTACACTTGGGAGCAAGATCCCGGCGGCTGTGAGGAGACACAGGCTGCGCCGAAGGTCCACCACTCGAATAAGTCGGGTGGACCGGGACAAAGATGTATCCCTAGAGGGGAACATCTAGAAGAGAAACAATCGATCGCTCAGGTTAAGCGAAACGATAATCCTAGATCGACTGGAGAGTCTTTCGTAGAGGATCTCGCTGTGGTTGCGCAACCCCAGCTAGAGGAAGTAAAAGGAATAAGTCCCAAGATTACAAATACGGCGGAAATAAGTTCCCCGAAACCCGCGGGAATAAGTCCCCGGGAAGACGAAGGAATAAGTCCTTCGAAGCCTGAGGGAATGAGTCCCCAGGAAATGACAGAGACATTGAATGTCATAGTCAATGATGGATCAAGTGTAGGCGCTTATACACTTGATCTGATTGCGCCTCCGAAGTTAACTTCGGAGATCACTCAGTTGCCAACGCTCGAACATAAAAGGTTCTTGCGTGATCTGCGTAGTGGCAAAGTCAAGCAGATCTGCGTACTCGTCGCTGACGACGAGTGTGTAACCGACATAAGGTCAGCAACAGTGTTCACTGAGAACGAGAGAGTTTTCAGTAGTTCATCTATGGACGAGAGTGTCCTAGATGAAAAGACACGAATTGAGCGATATGACTCCCAATCATGGGAATCGCTCAAGAGAAATCCTCTCTATGAAGATTTGGTTGAATTCAAGGATGTATTCCCTGAAACTGTTCCGTGCGAATTACCGAAGGATAAAGGTATTCGACATGAGGAAGAGCTTAAACTAGAGTCGAAGTACTGTGTCATGAAGCAGTGGCCACTGCCTCGTGAACAAGTACTTGCGATCGACAAGTTCTTTGCCGATCGTTTAGCTGCGGGCCATGTGAGGGAATCAACTTCCCCACATAGCTCTCCGACCTTCTGTGTGCGAAAAGCAACAGAAGGGTAGCGGATTGTGCATGCATTTAACAAGTGAATGCTGCAACTGTACCGTCTCAGACGCCGATACCAAGGAAGGACGTAATCATTGATGGCATGTCAAAGAGTACCATCTTTTCGTCCATGGATTTGATGGATGGCTTGTATCAAATCCTTATGCGAGAACGGGATATACCCTATACCGCAGTGAGCACGCCTAGCGGCATGCTCTGGGAATGAATAGTAATGCCACAAGGGCTCAGTAATGCCCCTGCCACGTTCAACAGATGTGTATCACATCTGTTGAGACCAGTACGAGAATTCGCGCCGAGTTGTTTCGATGACGTCTTCATCCATAGTCGAGCTATGGATGGAAAGTCGGATGTTGAGGTTCACAGGTACCACGCCCGACAGGTTCTTACAATCATGCGAAAGCATCAATTGTATGCAAACCTCAAGAAGTGTATATTTGCCGCAAGCGAAATACCACTTCTTGGGTGCATCGTTGGTAAGAACGGTGTACGTCCTGATCCCGAAAAGATCAAGGCGATCACCGACTGGCCTGTGCCAGTTGATGTCAAAGGTCTTCGAAAATTCCTTGGGCTAGCGGCGTATTTGCATAAGTATTCACGCAATTACGCCGAGATGACTGTGCACCTCTCTCGATTGTTGAAAACGAACGAGAGGTGGTTATGGAACGCTGAATGTCAACGCTCCTTTGAGGGTATCAAGCAGAGCTTGATAGAATCCCCAGTCCTAGCAATAGCCGATCAGGACAGGCCATTTCATGTGGTCTGTGATGCCAGCGATTTCGCAACCGGCTGTGCATTAATGCAGTACGATCTTGAAGGCGTTGAACGCGTCGTCTGCTATCAGTCGCGTCAGCTGCAACCAGCTGAGCGGAGCTATCCAGTGCATGACAAGGAACTCCTTGCCATGAAGTATGAACTCGCGAAGTTCAGAGTCTATCCATTAGAAATAAGACCCTTCGTCGTTTACACTGACCATGCGTCATTACGCACGGCAGTGAACAGCCCGCACCTTTCACAACGAATGGCGCGGTGGTTGTCATTCTTTGAAGAATACAACTTTACGGTCGAGTACAAACCAGGACGACTTAATGTCGTCGCTGATGCACTCTCACGTTGACCCGACTTTGAAACAGTCGTGAAACCCAACAGTGAGACAGTCACTGTTGCGGTTATGACGTCCACCATACCATCTTCAACGTTAAATGATGATGTGAGGCGGGCATACGCCCAAGATGGTGAGATAGTGAAGTTGTTGACACATCTCTCACAACCATCTCGAGAATCGTTGAAACGATTGTCGTCTGCGTATCGATCTGCATCAGATCGATACACTACTCGCAACGGTTTACTGTATTATACAGCCGTTTCGGGTGACACACCACGTGTTGTCATTCCAGATGATACTGATCTGCGTTTGCGGATCATGTTCGAGTATCACGATACTCCTATAGGAGGACATCGTGGCCGAGAGAAACATATCTCACGGTAAGTCGAGACTTTTACTGGCCCCGCCAGTATCAGTTTGTGCGAAAGTATGTTCGCGCATGCGAAGTCTGTCAACGAGTGAAGTCAAGTCCTTCACTGCGTGCACCTTTACAGCCTCTACCGGTTCCGGCAGAGTGCTGGGAATCCATCTCAATGGATTTCGTCTTCGGGTTACCCAAAGACGCACGCGGGAATACGGGTATTCTCGTATTTGTTGACAGATTCAGCAAAATGGTACACCTTGTGGCTGTACCAGAGACAATCACGGCAAGTGGCTGCGCTTGTGTCTTTATTGACACCATCTTCCGACTTCATGGGTTGCCCCGTGAACTCGTATCAGACAGAGATCCACGATTCACTGCTGATTTCTGGCGTTCCGTGTTCAAATCACTCGGGACGCGCTTGAAGATGTCAACATCTGATCATCCAGAGTCAGATGGCCAGACGGAACGTGCCAATCGTGTCCTTGAAGAGATACTTCGAGGATACGTACACTCCTTTAAGAGTTGGAGTGAGTTTTTGCCAATGGTAGAGTTTGCCATTAACAACTCGGTGTATGCGTCCACGACACATACACCGTTTTACGTGAATGGCTTGCGCCATTCGCGTGTACCCACCTTACTAGAGTGTAACTCTGATTTAAGGGGGGGAGGGACTCGCGCGAGCAAAAACCGAATTGGTTCACGCTCATCACGCTCTGACGAAGAGGTCATTGCGTTTGATGCCGATATCGATAACATCGATATCGAAGAATATGATGCCAGTGAGAGTGCGGAAGCCCTCACTGAAGAAGATGATCCCAGTGAGAGTGCGGAAGCCCTCACTGAAGAAAAGGTTGATGTTGCTGCAGTGCGCTCACAGCACACTGAAGCTAACGAGCCAGCAGATGAGTTCATACTGGCTCGTGAAACGGTAGTCCGTTTCGTGCAAGACTCCATCGCCGAAGCGGTGGATAAGCAAAAGCAAAACGCTGACAAGAATGGAAGGGCAAACACTCTTTTATTTAATAAAGGTGACTTAGTCCTACTGTCTACGGTTAATCTAACAAAGCATGTAGTGACTAACTTGGGTAGCAGTAAACTACTACCCAAGTACATTGGCCCATTTCGTGTATTGCACCGCCTAGGCAATGCATACACGATCGAGTTACCACGTAAGATGCGAACGCATCCCACGTTTTACGTTGGTCGGCTTAAGCCGTACCATCAGTACGCTGCTTCTTCCGATGAAGAACGCCTTGCGCTCAAGCATCTCGCAGAGAGCCTTGTGCTCCCGATGGTGGGCATCAACAAGGGTCTGAAGAGCAGCTATCTCATCCCGAGACCGATCAGCAATCCCACGAGCTACCCTTAGCTCGTCACGAAGAGATGTCAGAGATCTCTCGTTCTCGAGCTGAGCAAAGGCAAACTCAGCTCGATGCTTCGAGGCAGTGTCCGCCATTTGGAGACGCCTATTCCGCTCATGTTCGAGATCGTCGCGTAACCCTTGCGTTACGCGATCAAAGAAGCTCTCGGGAACACACGGATCCCCACGATCGTGTGGAGAGCGTCTTTACTCCTCCTCTACCTCCATTGGAGGACTCTCGCGGTGGCCAGCGCTATCTGGTTGAGCGGCTGTTGAACCACCGCGATGTGAACGAACGTCGGACGAGTTATCTCGTCCAATAACGCGGTTATCCCCCGTCCTGGGATTCTTGGGAGCCCCGCTCCTAACTGATGGTTGACGTACTGGGTCTGGTTGAGCAGTACGATGCGGCACATCCTGTGCCGCAGAAGGACCGCCGGATAAAGTCTTCTCGGCACGGTCGTAAAGGGATTTTAGGTTGTCAATTCCTTCGTACATCTCAGTAGAGATACGTACGCGCCACCACGGGATAGCAAGGAGGTAAGCCTCCTTAGGTGCGCGCGCTGATTTCTTACACAACAAGGGCACGGGTCTCCCCAGGAAAGACAGGGTAATCCTTTCTCCCTTGACAGACGATGCAGCTTGTAGCGTGCACCTGTCGGGGTTCGCTTTTCAAACTTATCACGAGCTTTGATAAGTTTGTCGTTCCAAGCGTCACGACCTACATCCTCAAGGTTATGGCTGTAGGCGTTCCACGCCTGAAGTAGTGAGGGACCATCACGTTTGTGATTCCCACTGTATCATCGATGTCTAAAGAAAGCATCGATGAAGAATTCATTCCCAGTATGATAGTTTTTCGCGCTGTGGTCAAGGTGATGGATCCTTGACGAATCGAACAATCGTGTTCGATAACGATCACTCGTCGTCGCCGACAAGTGATCCATGACTGATTTAGGAGGCATCCATGCCTTCTTCTCAGGAGCGAGACGCAACACATTGCGGTCCCGCTCTTCCTGCGATGTGCCGACAGAAGTACTGGCACCTCGCTGTGAAGTGGTGTCCATAGGAGAACCGACACCACTATTAGCGCCCGAGTCTCGCGACCTCGAGCGCCTTCGCTTCGGCGATGGTTCATCTGATTCATCAGATGAACCAAAGATGCTACGACGCAGAGCATAGTCCATGCCACGCTTGGCAGGCGGCTTAGATTCAATCGCCGTCGATACGGATCCGTCTTCCGTATTAGGAGAATACGAGACACTGAGCTCGTACTCTGTGAAGACACGAGTGTCTTCATGACCAGCGCCTGCATCACCAAGTGACACAGGCTGGGTCGCTTCAGCAACCGATGAGACATCAGTTGCTGTGGTTTCTGCTTCGGCGCCCGCACAGAGACGTGCGGACGCGCTCTCGGCGGCCTTGCTCGCGCATCGCATGGGCTTGTTAACCATACGATGAGATGTTGGAAAGTGGACGCGGACCAACAAGTGCAAACCCTGTCCCAAATGATTTGAAACGAGTATCCATTTAGTCAATCAGTCACTAAAGTGACTGATGGTTAAGGGGGGGTGATGTAACGGGGTGAATCGTTACATAACAATTTATAAGAAATTGTTAATAGAATATAACTATAAGAGTTATATTCTCAGAATATTGTCATAAGGACAAATATTCTGCAGCACTTACGAGTAGCTCCTAATTGGTTGATATAGACCATTATATCAACCAACGAAGACGCGCCACGACAGACGCACGCAATGAGTGGTGAGCAGATAACTGATTTACACATTTGTATTTAGACATAGTTAGATGAAGATAAATAGTGATTTATTGCAGACATTAACTATTATAAATACAGTTCTACTTTTTACTTTAACCAAGTACTCGCTTCTTCTTACCGTCTTCCTCTGCACGTACGAGTGTACGTGAAGTTACGAGGCACCGCCTTATTCTGTCATCAGAATAAGTGGCTTGTACTGTCACCAGTACAAGCTTCAGGGTTCCCCGTTACATTCATAGCATAAAGATGCTGCAGCAACCCCTTCTTTGCCAGCCTCATTCTCTTGTTAAACCTCTACACAAAGTGGTTGTTTTCGCGTAAAATGTCATTTGCGTCGAGCATATTTTTTTGGGTCCATTACCTTTTGTGCTATGAGTTTGGTCAAGGGTACTGCAATCTAATGCAACTCGAAGAGGATAAAATGAAAAGTGAATCTTTGTTAGCTAGGTCCTTAGGTCGACTATGATACCTTGAAGCCTATTTAATATAGATGCTACGATATTACTAACCACAACGATGAGTCGATCTCCATCGTCACACATAACGCCGTTGTGCCTTTTCTACCACCGACACACTCTATATCACCTACACACTCTATATCGCCCATAGAGAAGAAACGTGCAATTTTAGTCCATGCCATTAAACAGACTTTTTATTCCAACTTTCCCTTTTTGCTCTCATGTCGGGTCAGTATTGCCCCATTTAGTACAACCACCGGCGACGTAACAACAGGGTAGCGGCGGTCAAGTGATTCCCAAATATAAAGATACTACAAGACTGGAAAATGAAAAATACCAAGGTGCACGCTACATGCATGGTATGACAATATGTCGTAATAATGGTGGCTCTGAGCCTGCTTTTACAATTGTGTATTCTCGAATGATAGATAGACACGCTAAAAGACAATCTAGATTTTGCTTATGAAAAGCCGCCTATCAGCAGATTTTGCCTGAAGACCATCTTCTATAGAGCTGGGCGTCGAGTAGGGCATGACATAGTCGTCATGAATCGTAGCATCTTGTTGGACACCGACGCGTGAGCCCAGCTCCTTGGACGATGTGTTTGTTAGCTCTACTTGTAATACTGGTACAGAATTTCGACACACGTGTAACTCTGTATTTTTGGTTGAATATCTTCCTAATATCGTGTTATTATGTAGATTCGATTGCCTACTCGTTTTTTTACTTGCGAACGGAGTAGTTCTTCAGTATTTGCGAATTTATCAAGTTGGTATTATATCAGCTGTGTAGTAGATAGCAAAACGCTTTCGTCATGGTGCTCGTATGTGGACTAGAATGAACATATTTGCAGATTTAAAATGGTTTCTCGATGGTTTCTAGCCATTATCGTCGCGTGTAGCTTTCGCACAGCTGTTGTGTTTGTTTTCCAAGTGTTTCTTGAAATATCAACTGAACATTTTTTTCGTGGCACGCCTCGATCTCATTTTTCAATGCTTTGTCACTACGACACAGCACTCAAACAACAAGAGTATTTTGGAAGGAGGAAGTAGTAGGACGAAGGGGAGTTGCTTTGTCACATGCACATTTATAAGTTGATGTCTGTACACGATGAAGCATCTTATGCTCGATGAAACCACGTTATAAATTTGTTTCTAAGCAAAGTGATCACTCAGATGGGCTATCACAGTAGGCTGATGCAGTTCAGAAGATGTTTGTGCCACGGGCCTTGGATTTCAGACGAATGCTGCTGAGGGGCGACTTGTCGTAGCGTAGTTATGATTGTCTCTTGATGTGCTTGCTTACCAGTCAGCAATTACAAATGATCAGGAGTTGGCTTAGAGCAACCTATCGTACTAGATATCGTCATGCTAGACATGGTAAACTATACTTATTTTCCGATCTTGTGGTCCTTTGTTAATTTCTTTCATCTTGTGATTTCCATATATATTTAATCATTCCGTAAGAAACAATTCTTTTTTGCGGTATATTTTTAGGAAATTGCTAAATTCACACCCTTTTTCCATAGATTCACACCATTCCTTCAAAATCTTATATATAAAATCCCTATTCATGCAAGATTTGTTTTCTAGCCTTTAAACCATTAAAAGACGTAACACGCAAGTCGAGATGATGTCGATATTTATGCATCTCGTACTTAACATATGCTCAATAGGTTGAGGGTAGCAAACTGACAGGCTGTCCATGAAGCATGCTCCAATGTCTGTAAGCAGTCAGGGGGGGGGCGAAACAAAGCGTGCTGTACCCTAATCCGAGCCGAGGCTCTTACGGATCTGCTCCGTCACCTTATGCATTTCTATCTATCTATTTATTTCTATCTATTTATCGATCTATCTGATTATATCTTTGATCTAATTAAATATCATTATCTAATCAACTCTCTATTCTATTATGTTGATGCAGTAAAATAGACTTTGCAGGCTGTCAGCATAGCTACGAAAAAAGTGGCTCCCAAGTCGTGGGCTGAAGTGGTGAAAAGGCATTGACAAGACTCAGCCGTTACTGGAAGGCAGTGGACAGGCGACGCCGTGGCCTATTGCAGCTGCTGGTGATGGAAACGCAGCAGCTGCAAAGATAGTGAAGGATCCAACGAAGGCGGTTATATTTAGCACGTGATTCAGGAGGCACTTAGTTGTTTGGACGTGTCGGCACCAGCTAAAGAGATGAAAAAGAGGTAAAAAGAAGTACATTACGAGGAAGAGAGTGAGAAAGGAGAAGGTGCTGACGTTGTGGTGGTTGTGGATTTTTAATTTGCTGCAGGGGGCTGGTGAATCAAGGTTGTAGGCAGTGCCAAATGATAGTGCGTCGTTTGGAATCGTGTTGATGAAACAGTGCAGGCTCAAGTCAGTCACGGTGACCGAAAGGGTAACGATATGCATGGCAAAGCACCACAGGCGATTCGTATCAGCGGGTGCTTCATGGACGTATTGAGTACTTTCCAGAAGATGCGGAGAGAGCAGGAAGATGCACTGGAGTTTTTTGGAGTTTTTCTTGGAATATTTGCACGCAGAGTACGAAAAGAGTGGTCTACGTTTGCCTGCCTCGTGTGAAAAGCAGACAAAGCGGGCTCCTGTGATCGAGAAGAATGAAGCTAGTGTGGACGCGGACGCTAAGATTGCTCAAGCGTTCGATGACGGCTGGGCAGAGGTTGGTAAGAAAGGCAAGAGCAGCGTGTTACGTCAGAATCCCGTTGACACTGTCCGCTTGTCGATAAATTGGATGTTTAAGGGGGCACTACGCTCTGAGCTGAAGCAGATCGGCAAGAGACAAAGTTTGATTACTGCGGAACCGTTTCACTGCTTGCACTTGAACCTCGATTACGAAACACAAGACCCATCGCTTGTTAGAGGCGAGAATGGCACGGTTAATTCAATCGACGCGTCAACTACTGTTGAGGAGATGATCCGCAATTCATTCGACGTCGAGGTGATCGAAGACGCCAACCAGGTCCCTACGGTGAAGAAGTACACGGCAGTGGAATCCCTTCCCGTCGGGCTGACGCTGAGCGTGAAGCGTTTTACATACCATCCGGAACAGGGACCGGTCAAGTTACAGCAGTTTGTAATGTATCCGCATTTTCTGGAGTTCTCAGCACAGCTACTGTCAGCTGCCTGTCGTGCGGAGAATGGATTGGATTCGTCAGGTGCTGCGCTCGTCAATGATTCTGGCCCGTTGACTCCTCTTCCTCTACGAGTTGTTTGCAGTCGTGTCGCACCTGGGCAAAGTACGTGGTGGGAGGTCACTGCACTTGCGTTTGCCGCGACAACAAAGACCAGTGATTTCGTTACGATGATGAGCATGTAACATCGATCTCGGAGGCTGCAGTGAGACTGCTTACTTGTTGCTCTATATCCGAACAAGTAAACAGCCACCTGAACCGGTTGTAGTGCCACCCTCACTTTCAAGCTCCCCATTTATCAAGGCGACGAGCATCAGTGCCCCAAGATGCAAGAGTAGCAACGTCACCTGGAAAAAAGTTCCTGGCGGAAAGACTTGGAAACAGCCCGCATCTGCGTCATCAGTACTCCCTCCGGCACCTCGACTGATTCCAGGCATGTCTCCAACAAAACGAGCCGTGGCAACAACATCGAAGGCAAAGAAGTCTAGTAAGAAGAAAGCTTGAGGGGGGGGTAGATAGCAGCTAGGGTAGTGAGAGATAACTGCGTGCTAGGAAAAAACGGTTCATAACGACAAACTGGTATACTATCTTGAGTGCACACAAGGAGTTCCTCGTTCGAATAGAGTTCCACTGGAAAGTCGTTGCATCGTAGGTCTTGTAGAAGGTGCTGTAATTTATTTTGCTAATAGACGATTGACACAAGGTGAGATCGAGAGTGCCTCTGGTGCACTCGGTTGACTTTCGACACATTGTGTAACGGGGTGAATCGTTACATGACAATTTATAAGAAATTGTTAATAGAATATAACTATAAGAGTTATATTCTCAGAATATTGTCATAAGGACAATATTCTGTAGCACTTCCAAGTAGTTCCTAATTGGTTGATATAGGCCATTATATCAACCAACGAAGACGCGCCACGACAGACGCACGCAATGAGTGGTGAGCAGATAACTGATTTACACATTTGTATTTAGACATAGTTAGATGAAGATAAATAGTGATTTATTGCAGACATTAACTATTATAAATACAGTTCTACTTTTTACTCTAACCAAGTACTCGCTTCTTCTTACCGTCTTCCTCTGCACGTACGAGTGTACGTGAAGTTACGAGGCACCGCCTTATTCTGTTATCAGAATAAGTAGCTTGTACTGTCACCAGTACAAGCTTCAGGGTGCCCCGTTACACCTGGTAGCACTTCGTAGTCCGTCCAAGGACCGCGTTCACATCCAACATGAATATGTTGGATGATGAAGATGACCAAAGCTTTCACGCTACGCGTGACGGCTACTCCCATTTGAGCGATGTCGAATGGGATGCGGTTGAACGAATGGGTTCGACCATGGGCATCCATGCTGTTAGCGTCATGCTAGAGGCTCTCAATAGAGATACCCAACATGCTACTATCGCCAAGTTCATTCAAAATGAACTTGACGCAGAACGCGAGAAAGTAGCCTTGCTTCACCAACAAGGTTCTCAACAAGCAGAGTTGTTGAGAGAACAAGGTGCTCAACAGTTTGAACTGTTGAGACAGCAGCAGGCTGCTGCTGGCGGGTCGATGCACTCGCGTCGGCCCGAGACTTTGAAGATTAACATCTCAAAGTATAGGGGGGTCGAAGAAGACTCCCTCTTGAGATGGTTCGTCGAATTGGATGACGCCATAAGGGCGCGTCGCATCGACGACGGGGATATGCAAGTTGCATTTGCCCAGTCAAATCTGGCAGGACGTGCCAAGACTTGGGCACTGGGGCTCAAGCTGCACGACCCATATGCGTTTGGGTCGTTGGAAGTCTTCAAGTCGCGGCTCAGACAAACGTTTGAACCGCCTAGAGCTGAGTTCAGAGCTCGAACCGAACTCTTGAAGCTCAAGCAGGGTAAGCGTGATGTGCACGCTTACGCTCAACATATACGACATCTCACGAGTTGTATAAGTTCCAATCCGGTGGATGAACACACGTTGGTTTCGGTGTTCATGCAGGGTCTTGCGGATGGTCCCGTCAAGACTCACCTGTTCCGGCTTGAACTAGATTCACTAGAACAAGCCATTTCAATTGCGGAGCAGGAAGACTTCAGTCTGAGACAGGCTCGCGCCAGCTCGACATCATATCGTCAACCGAGACGATATGACAACGGAGGTCCAGAGCCGATGGAACTCTGTTATGTAGAGAGCGAGAAGGCTCGCTCTACAGGCTACAAGAAGTTGCAGAGATGCAACAGATGTCAAAAGACAGGACACTACGCTTACGAGTGTAGTGCCCCTCGTCCAGTGTCTCGCGACACTGGGCGTAGTGACCGTCCACCCATGAGAAAGGGGCAGGGACGAGGGTCCGCAGTTGGTGCAAAGACGCAACAACGGGATGGACCGTCAAAAAACGGACAGGATCAGTAGGTGCGGAGCACCCTACTGATCCAGCAACGTCAAGAGAATTTGTAGGCCTCTTGATGAAGGTTGCTCCCAACACACAGACATTGTGCGTTGCTGCTCTAGGTAATGAGATCTCACTCATTACCTTGAAACTCGAAGTGACGAATAAGTTGTCCCTTCGAGCTCTAGTCGATTGTGGGGCGTCCAACAATTTTGTGCGACGCCAATCGCTAGAAGATGGTCACTTTAAATTCAGTGAATGTGACACACCCCCTACGAGGATGACGGTACGTCTTGCGACAGGCGCATCCGTAACCGTCATGAAGCGTATAGTGAAGATTCACTATACGCTAGAAGATACCCAATACGACGATGACTTTATCGTATTGGATTTGGATGACAAATTTGATGTCATCCTTGGAATACCGTGGCTCAGAAGGTACGAACCACGGGTAAACTGGCAACATCGGACAGTAACGATGCCTGCCGCTTGTTCATCAGATGGCCATCTGATGAACGTTTTGGAGCGTCCACAAGCGTGTGGATGTACTACGAGTGAGTGCGATGGCCTCACTTGTGGTACGGTCGTTAGTACGACTGCACAAAACCTTAGTGTACCAAACGGTTACACTTCGGAGCAAAGTTCCGGCGGCTGTGAGGAAACACAGGCTGCGCCGAAGGTCCACCACTCGAATAAGTCGGGTGGACTGGGACAAAGATGTATCCCTAGAGGGGAACATCTAGAAGAGAAACAATCGATCGCTCAGGTTAAGCGAAACGATAATCCTAGATCGACTGGAGAGTCTTTCGTAGAGGATCTCGCTGTGGTTGCGCAACCCCAGCTAGAGGAAGTAAAGGGAATAAGTCCCAAGATTACAAATACGGCGGAAATAAGTTCCCCGAAACCCGCGGGAATAAGTCCCCGGGAAGACGAAGGAATAAGTCCTTCGAAGCCTGAGGGAATAAGTCCCCAGGAAATGACAGAGACATTGAATGTCATAGTCAATAACGGATCATGTGTAGGCGCTTATACACTTGATCTGATTGCGCCTCCGAAGTTAACTTCGGAGATCACTCAGTTGCCAACGCTCGAACATAAAAGATTCTTGCGTGATCTGCGTAGTGGCAAAGTCAAGCAGATCTGCATACTCGTCGCTGACGACGAGTATGTAACCGACATAAGGTCAGCAACAGTGTTTACTGAGAACGAGAGAGTTCTCAGTAGTTCATCTATGGACGAGAGTGTCCTAGATGAAAAGACACGAATTGAGCGATATGAGTCCCAATCATGGGAATCGCTCAAGGAAAATCCTCTCTATGAAGATTTGGTTGAATTCAAGGATGTATTCCCTGAAACTGTTCCGTGCGAATTACCGAAGGATAAAGGTATTCGACACGAAGTCGAGCTTAAACCAGGCTCGAAGTACTGTGTCATGAAACAGTGGCCACTGCCTCGTGAACAAGTACTTGCGATCGACAAGTTCTTTGCCGATCGTTTAGCAGCGGGCCATGTGAGGGAATCAACTTCCCCACATAGCTTTTTGTTGTTTATTGTTGTATTCGAGGAATCCGTTGTGAAGGCATAGCAGTGGGGGAATAGCTCAGTGGTAGAGCGCTGGATTCCAGACCCAGTGGTCGGGGGTTCGATCTCCTCTTCCCTCATGCGTTACTCTTTCACTGGTGCACTTGCACTTCGGGTCGAGCGCTGAAACAAGTAGACTACATAGTCATGTACCAGCTTCACGTGTCAGGGAACGAGTGGGCTTGTACAAGAATGCAACGAAAGTGCGATACTTCTCGATTTATGCGTGTCATCCTTGCGCAGGGGCCATGCTAATCTTCTCTGTATCGTTCCAATTTTTACGGATGACCACCGAAGTGGTTCCTATCTACAACAACACGACCATAACAGGTTGGGAGCCTGACTTATCAACAAAAGAAGGAGATCTGCGAGTCGCATGACGCAACAACCACCCTTAAATAGTTGCAGCTGGTAGATATGACGAAGCGCGAATTGTCTCTTCAAGACGCCAGTCTTTATGACAACTCCCGGTATCCTACGTGATCGCCAGTACACTAATTACGGTAATTAGTAAAGGAAAACTAAAGTTATTACTCGTTGAATAATGAGTACTGCTGTAACGCGGTAGTCCGTTACATGATTTTGACACCAAACGGTGTCAATAGGTAGATTGTCTAGCGTGACAATATCCTACCAACACTACCCAAGATAGGTGATATTGAAGGATATTACTCATTGAGATAATGTTCACGTGCTGCTCGAAGATTGGTTGATAAATACATATTAACCAAGGTTACCACCAATCGCTGCTAGACGCGCATAATGGGTGGTGAGCCGGTTGTCGTCATACCGCAATGTCGATTAATATAGATAGATAGAGACTGAAGTTATACTGATAGCTTGCCTACATTAAATACGGTTCTCTTTTTACCTTTACTCAAACTAGCAGTTTACGTAAATTAGCTTCCTCTGCACGTAAGAGTGTACGTGAAGTTTCGTGGAACCCAAGCGAAGGCTACACCGTTACAAGAAATGAAAAATTTATTAACTATTATAAGGTCTCAATCAGCTTTGTATTATTTAACTTAGAATGTCGTGAAAACTATTTATACATTTGGCCATCAAAACAAGTAACGTTTATCATGTGCATTAGTAGCCGTCTAATTAAAGTCCCGTGGTTGTAGTGAGTTGCCTGATTAAAGAGTAAGTACGCAGCAGTTCATGATTCCAAAAACAAATTAGGACGTTCTCACCTTCGTCTAAAGATTTACTATGCTTTTATGGGCGATCATTTATAGAGCAGACACGTCTTTAGACGTTACGGATCCGTAAATTTAGCATCCGTCAAAAAAAAAATTGTGAACGATCAATCCTTTTTCAACAGGTTCAATAGCCTGACGCATGTCTAGTAGAAATACTAGTCATTCTCAAGGGTCTAGTCAGGTTTTTCGTTGAGATCATTTTGCTGTTGGTATAACCTTAGACTCGTACGCACAAAATTTTTACTGCAGTCAATGACAACATAATTTGCAGGTCTATTTTTGGC